GACCCGCCGCCCGCGGCCAGGAATGCGCTCCGGGCGCCGGCGGCGAGCGAGCCGAGGCAGGCGCGGCGCCCGGGTGGAGCGCGGCGTGAGACACACATGTGTGCAACGGACAGGTGCACTCGTTTCCATGTAATTTTATTTTCCTGCAGAAAACCCTCCGAGAACGTGCAATCGGGGGGCTTCCCGGGGGTTTTTCTGCATTGACATCGCGCACGAGATGCAAAAGGGAGGAAAAAACCACCCACATTTTCCGTCTGGAGAGGGGAGGGAAAAGACAGGCGAAATTCATGCAGCTTGCACGCAGCTGGAGGAAGAGGGAGACCCGAGCGAGTCGTGCGCCTTACCGGGGGATGCATTTACTGTCTCATTGCAGAGCGTCTGCCGGGGTGCAGCCCGCGTCCCCCCGCGCGCCCGGCCGCCGCTCAGCTCCTCAGCCGCCGCCGCCGCTGGCTCCGGGCGCGGAACTAGAGCCGAGGGCGAGCGCGCGCGCACGGCCCCGAGCGCCGGGGGCGCAGGAAACGCGTCATCACTCGGGGACGGCGTGCCGCGGTGGGCTCGGCGCCGCTCGGCTCGCGGGGCCGTCGCCCTGCCGCTCTGGGGTCCCCCGGGTCTGCACCCCGCGGTGCGGAGCCGGACGCCCCGCTGCGGAAAGCGGTTGGGGGCGCGGGCGGGCCGAGGGTGCCATCTGGAGCCTCGGGGACACGGGAGGGGGCGTGGGGGGCGGAGCCCTGGGTGGCGGGGACCCCGGGGCCGCCGCTCGCGGACGCCGCAACCCTCCGGGCAGCGGTCGCGGAGGATTCGGGAAAGGACTGGAGGGGTGGGGGGCGCAGGGGCGCTTCGTGCTGAGTTAGAAATGCTCTGCCGCCTGCCGCGCCCTGAGAAGACGTTACGCAGTTGGCGCCTTCGGTTTACCGCGGTAGGGAGACGGAGCGAGAGGACGCGGCGACAGATTCTCACGGCTGCGACGGGCACAGGGAGTCCAGGGAAGCGCGTTCCGTCCTAATAAAGAGCATCTTGTTGACTGTTTCAGTGTTAAGCGGGGTTATGATTTTTCTCTTTTCTGCTTGGTTTGGCTGTCTGTGTTTTCTGTTTAAAAAAAAAATACATCATTGTTGTGATTTCAGGGGAAAATTAAGAACTCTTTTTCTTCTCAGTATAGAACAGTCAATATGGACCTTTCTCGAGAAATAGCACCTCTTAGCCAACCGTGGTGGCGCACACCTGCAATCCCAGCACTCAGGAGGCTGAGGCAGGAGGATCGGTTGCAAGTTCGAGACCAGCCTGGGCTCCAAAGTGAGGTCAAGACCAGCCTGAGATGAACAGCGAGACCCTGTCTCAAAAAAGACAAAGAAATGGCACATCTCCTCCGTTACTCAAACTTAGTGTTTCTCTTAAAGTGTGAAACTGCCGCATTATAAATCTAAGAAAGTTGGTTTTGTAAATTCAAACTATCCTGAAAAAGTCTACGGAGACAGTGACTGGTGGCCTAGACATTCTGTAAAAGCACTCGTGTCCCGACCCTTCCCCTAGACTGATGAGTCCGTTGTGACCTGCGCCTTCAATCACATCTCTTCCCCGAGACTGAGACAGAAGCATCAGGGGTAGCCTGGCAATTTAGACCTTAAAAAAATGACCTCAGAGATGTTTATAATCTCGGCACAACTTTGTAGCAATCTTTTTGCGGAGAATAAACTGTCAAAAAAAGCACGGTGAAAGCCAGTTCCTTCCACTTGACCAACTCCTACCAGTCGCAGGGCACAGACTGTGGCTAATTGGAGGAGTTGAATGTTTGCTACACTAACTTAAACATTGGCCAACCTAGCAATGACGGCTGGTGGCAGCCAGCCCCCAAGGATGGTTACCAAGGGAATGTTTATGATTGCCGTAAAAGCCTGACCATCTCCTTAACTTGTCCCTTGGTTGACTGACAAATAGCAACCATATTTTTGTAGCTCTAGTGCCAGGGTCACGTAAGAGACCCTGAGAATTATCAAAAATTGGTTGCAGGGATGCGGACTTAGCTCATTGGCATAAGCACCTGCCCCCCAAGCACAAGGTTGGATCCCCAGCACGAGAGAGAGGGAAGGAAGGAAGGAAAGAAAAGGGTGGGGCCAGCGAGGTAGCTCAGTGTTCTAAAGTGCCTGCTTAGGCAAGCTCGGTAGGCGCACGGGGTACCGTGTGCCATACTAGCCCGGCACTCAGGGCAGGCTGAGTCGGCCAAAAAAAAAAGACAACATTCGTTGCGGTTCAAATTATTTTCTCTTCCCACTTTCCCGTTCACAGGGCTCAGTGGCTGCCTGTCAAGCATCTCAAGATCACTTTGCTTTGTCCCCCAACCTGGTTTTCAGACTTTGGCACCGTTTATCCTTTCCAAAGCACCCCCACGCTTCACACCTACCAATGAGGTGCTACCAAAAGTAGAAGGTAGGCCCCACAGGAGCAAGGCTCTTGTGCACATTTCTGTGTCCAAAATAGAACCTGACTGCTTCATAAAAATGCCATATTTTTATGCTGCCTGTTTGTCCCGAAACATTCTTTCACCTTGCAGGCCTTCATCATAATCCTGAGATGCTACAGTATAAAGTTACTGTCTTGGTTTAGTCCAGTAACTTTTTATGCTTAACGGGGCAACTAAATCTTAAACCATTCAGAGGGATGAGGTGCAGGGGTCTCCATACCTACACGTTACTGATTCGATGAGCACAGTTAGGGGGCTCTCTGAGAACACCTTTTTCCCCGTAAGAAGGAATAACAATCCCAGAGCTCTTTGCTGTTGCTGTCCTGGCTGCAAACCGATAGACTTGGACACTTGGTCATGCTGCGCCTCAGTTTCTGTAGCCACTCTTACAACTTCACAGCCATTTGGAGTTTCTTTTGAAAATCAGCTAACCGTCCTATGGCTAGTCATATATCTTAATAACTTCCCCAATAGATGTAAAAGGGATTTTATCAGTAGCCTATAGCAACTTCCTTAGACTGTGACTTTACCCTTAAACCTAAAAACATAGTTCCCTTCTCTCTCTCTCTCTCTCTCTCTCTCTCTCTCTCTCTCTCTCTCTCTCTCTCTCTCAGGCCCTTGCTGAGTTAGGGAATCGCCAGGCTGCAATCCTGCCTCAGCTTCCCAGAGTGCTGGGATTATAGCTGAGTGCAGCCACAGCCTGTATGTGTACATTTAGAGTTAGCTGTTAGTGGCCTCAGGCTGTACCAGTCCCTGCAAAAGTTTCAGACAAGAAAAAAAAAACAAAAAAAAAACCCTTATTTATTTTAACAATGTTGACGTTTCAGGATTATATCCACCCAGAGGGAGGAAAACACACTGATGTAACTAGAACCCTAAATAAGTTTAACTGTAGCTAGCAGTTTCCCAAACCTTTGAACAAGGTCCTTGTTTCCTGCTGAGCAGAGCCTAATGGAGAGCAAATAACTGTGAACAAGATCTAGTAGTGCGGGGCTCTGTTCCCTGTGCTCGGAAGGCTGAGACAGAAGGATCGAAAGTTTGAGTCCTTGTATAGGTAATTTAGTGAGCTCTTGTCTCAAAATTTTAAAAAGGAGTCAGGTTAGTGAAAAGGCCTTGTCCTTGATCCTCAAGAACACACACACACACACACACACACGCACACACACTTTGTATGAATAAAGAATGGAATATTTAATAAAGTAAAGAAAATTGTTTCAGAATCATTTAAAGAATGTACATCTGCAAGAACAACACCTGCCAGGCGTGATGGTGCGCACCTGTAACCCCAGCACAGCACCAAAGTATCCTACTCCTTTTCCACAGTGAGATCTTTAATTGCCAAATTAATGTGGCTGGTGACAAAGAGTCCAGAGCTGAGCTTCCCCCCAGCCTCAGCCTCCTGGCTTCCTGTCTGCCCCTGCATGTAACTGGAGTCACAGTCCCTGGGGTTTCCTAACCGAGCAAGCCCAACTCTAGCCATACTGAGGAGCCGAAAGAAATGCCACCAAGTGTTTTGTTCTACTTTTGTCTATAAAATCGCATTCTGTGCAGTATTAAAATATTTGCTTGGGCTTCCTTGATGCAACCCAACGAGAGTTCATGATTTTCCCTGCTTTCAAAATGCTCGTATCAAAAAATAAAATAAAAAAGAAAGGGCCAACCATATAGGATTAAAGCACCTGCTTAGGCAGAGCACAGCGGCCGGGGTTCAGCCCCACCCCCGGAGTGCACTGAGACAGCGACTGAGACTGGGCGTGGTGCCCACCTGTGATCCCAGCATTTGGGAGCCGGAAAACAGGAGGATCACTGCGAGTCTGATCCGTGTAGTGAGACCCTGTAGAGCCTGTACTAAACACATTCCTTAAAAAAATGCTTGTATCCTCTCCCTGGATCAAGGTGGAGGTGGAAACCTCATTGTCTAAAATTTTTGTGTTACTCAGATCCAGTGATAAAAACAAAATGCTCGGGCTTCTACTCTCATTTGACATCATTAGGTTTTTGGAAATCCCTCCATTTCTTTTCTAGTGAGAAGTCATAAGACAGTTGCCGTCTAGCGTAGTCTTTTTTAAATTCTATTTGAGAGGAAAATACTTGACATTTTCATGGATAACCCACTACTGTTGGGGACTACTGGACTATATTGGATTACTTTGCTGAGTTCACATACCCACGGTATTTGAATGGCAAGGGAAAACCCATCTCTGGCAAAACGAATCAAAAAGGGGGATATAAATGAAGGTCCATTTTGTGGTGAAAAAAAATATGTATATATCTGTATATACAAAATAGAGTAGATATATAGCTTCTTTCTCATAGTTCAACGAGAAGAAAGATTTATACTAATAGTGTTTAGTCCTCTGAAAAACTACTACGAAGACAACAATATGCGATGGATTAAGTATTGTAACTGGCCTACTAACCTGTTTTGAAACTGTCTCGTTGCTATTTCTTGCTCAATAAAATTAACAAAAGAATTACACGATAACAATTACTCAATATCTTTCAATATACTTGCCTAAAATTTTAGATTTATAAATACTGATGAGGGGCTGGCGAGATGGCTCAGTGGTCTAAAGCACCTACTTGGAACAAGCTTGGCAGAGCACAAGGACCGCGGTTCAATCCCCCAGCACCACATGCCAGCCAGCCCCGCCCCCTGGTGGGCTGAGCTGGCCACACACACACACACACACACACACACTAAATAAATAAATAAATGTTTATAAATACTGATGACATATTTAGAATAATTAATTTCTTAAAAAACATAACTAGGATTCTTCTGTCTCTCTGAAATCTGTTATCTGAGAATATGGGTTGATAAATATTCTACTATGTAAATGATTCATTGTATAATTGTTAGTACTTATAATTAGTGCATTTTATATTTTATTTCCCCTTTATATGTGAAGAATATTTTAATAAACTTATACTGTTGACTTGATCTTAGCAAAAAAAATACTTAACATGTTGCAAAAATTAATATAGTTTAG